CTCTCTCTCTCTCTCTCTCTCTCTCTCTCTCTCTCTCTCTCTCTCTCTCTCTCTCTCTCTCTCTCTCTCTTCGTCGTTGTCTTCTTGGCAGGTACACAGCACCTTACTTCAACGGCGCGGCTATGGCGGGCCCTTCTTCTTCAACGGCGTACTTCTGCTATGGCGTGTGAAATAGCGGGATCCTGCTCCGATACCAATGCAATCGGACTCACTTTCTTCTCACTTCGCATGGATCTAAACAGATGGCAAATCACCCTGGCGCCAGGCGCCCACACAAAGCTCAGAGATATAACAGGTGAGAACACAGTTTGGATACAAACTCGCTTCAAGTAACTATGGTGCCTGTGCGCCCTTACATCAACCCCCACGACACTGTATCCTCACAACTTGTTCACACACACACTTCACTGGATCTCCCTGGGTATCCCATGCGCACACACTCTTACTGCACACTCGTACACACACACACTGGAGACTATTCTAACCTAGCGCAGCTATGGCTGCTCGCTAACCCTATCACAACTAGCAGCTATGGCTGCTCTGTCTCCCTCGCAGCCCACTTCGGCTTTGGGCATCTGCAGACCACCTCGCACAAGACGCACTGGCAGCACTTGCTCTTGGTTCGCAGCAGAATGAATGAATGGCTGGACGCTGCCTTTTGATTTATACTTCTGTTGGTCGCTGGTCTGCCCCCTTTCCACCGGACCCTTGGTGCACACAGTCCCACATGGTACTTGCTGACCGGACTAAGTGAGACTGGGACTGGGTACCGCTGACTAAGCAAGGTTGGACTCACAACTTGCCCACTTGCCTCTGGTCTCCTGTGAACAAGGTTCAAAAGGCCACTTCCGGACCTTCTGGAAGCCTGCGGGCTTGGCCTTTTGGGACTGTAGCAGCTACGACCTTGACCTTTCAGGACTGTAGCAGGCTACAACCTTGACCATTCAGAATTCCTACAGCTATGGCCTCTACACAACTAGGACCTCTACTCGACAGACCTACGGTTCAAGACCCGACTGCTACATCGACCTATGACAGACAACAACTGACTCCTAAAACGCAGGTCACGGGTTCAAACACACAGGGATACTGTACACAGGTGAGGTGAGGTCTAGGGATCGATCCCTGGGATCTGCATCTGCTACTGCAAAGGTGAAAACTGTTTCAATCTAGCTGGCGCATGGCAAAGCAATGTGTTTCGTTCTGGGGAAGCTGGTGGGAATGATGTGCTGGGATCCTCAATATTGGAATTGTGTTAAGGGTGGTACTGATCCTGCTGCATTCTGTCCAGGAGCAATCCCCCTGACATATGTCAGTTCCCCTGCGTCTCCCTTTTGAGTCATTTGAGTGCTTGTCTGGTGTTGTGTTTGTAGTGATTTGGTGGTTATGTGCTGTTCGGTGCAGATGTTCCACGTGCCTGTCTTAATGAATCTGACATGGGTTGTCCAGTCCCCACCAAGCAACCCAGCAGTCATGATCTTTTCACACTGCAGTGACTGCAAGGATTTTTTTTTGATGCCTCCTTCTGACAGATGTTGAGCATTCCGTTGCATGCAGATGTGCATTAACATTGTCTGATGCTTGTTCCTTATGATGAACAGTCAATGCCCCTGTGGACTATCTTAGGGCGTTTATCACGAATTTGGGTGACAACAAAAAGTTAGAGAAGCTATGCAGGGTTCTTCAACTCTTGGAGTCCTTGAAGGTATGCCATGTTGTAATCCGTTCTGGTGATTGATGTGCTTGGCATGGCTCTCTGTGCCTAACTGGGGACGAATCTAGGCTACCAGGGTTGCCTGTGCCCAGGTGCCACAGGCGATCACCATAGCAGCTTGTCAATTATTTTAATTTGTTTGATAAATTGAAAAACGAATTCAAACGAATTCATTCATTTCTAATCTCATAAAACTACTGGTAAAATTTCAAGTGCAATTGAAATGCTTGATGTCTATGAGTAATGTACATTTTATTACGGTTTAATAATTTTTCGAACTTTCTCGCTCTGGATACAAAACAGAATTTGCTCATCTGTGAATGAATAGCAAGGCCCAGAAAGGTTTGGCAGAGACGTACTAATTCTGGCAAGCGTAGGCTTAAGGGGTCTGGAACTAGGTGTAGGTTAGTGTGGCAATATTTTTTGTATGAGACCAGGGAACTACTTTTCTCCTCCACCAGGTGCTTCCTGCATCAGGCTGCGCATGATGGCACCTCGGTTGTGACCTGTTAGTTGTTGAAAAGTAGTACTAATGAAATGTTACAAAGGAGAGTTCTGCTCCAGCCTGGACATTTTTTCTTTATTTTGTGAAGAAAGGTTACACAAGAGAGCTTTGCCACACCATCCAGTTCGTCTCTCCTCTCTGCCTCCACCACAAATCATGGCCTCCAAGTGAGATTGAGAGAAGGGTGGCCTTATTCTTCGACATGGAACATGGGTGGAAAGGTGACTTGCAAGCCAGGAATGGATTCAGGGTGATTTTAGCGGTCAGCAACCTCTGTGTTGCTAAATGGTACACCCATGAACTGTTGATAAACAGACCTGAGTTCGAATCCTGACTGAACTACTGGGGGGCAGTCCGTTCGATGATGATACCTCAAAGCGGCAAGCGAAAGGGCAAAACACAAGGAAAGAAAGCAGTCTCGTGATGATGGGCCTAGACATGCCTCATCGACTGCAAGGAACCAGCCGTATGTGGCTGAATGACATACCCCTGAACTGTTGGAAAACAGACACGGGTTAGATCCTGATTGTGTCATCTGGGGCCGGTAAGCTCAATGATGGCACCTCAAGGCCTCCGCCCTTTCAAAAATAGAGCGAAAAGGAAAAACGAAAACAGCTTCACGACCATGGGCGCGTACATGCCTTACCCACTCCAGGAGGAAGCACAGGCAACGAGGAGCTTGCCTTAACCTTTGCAAACCTCTGTATCCTGCCTTCTCATCAATCATAATCTCATACTTCACAAGGCATTGTGAAGTCGATGGCTGGAGCAAGTCTGTGTGACTGGCTCCATGTGGAAACAGATTTCCGGTGGCCGTAGGTGAGCACCTGTCTCCAACTACCCCAGGGCCGTTTGTGAATGCAGCCATCTATTCGACTCACTCCAGTCATTGGTCACACACTGCTTTGTGCAATGTACTCGGTTGTCTTGAGATAGGGGTCTGGCTCACCGGAAAAAGGAGGAAGCAAAATGTGCAGGCAAGATATCATCCGGACTCATGTGGCAAGGTTTTTAAGAGTCAGAGGGATCATAGAGATCACCGAAGACGTTGTTCCATCTTCCTCCCTCTCTATTTTGTGAGTTTTGCCTGTATTTCACAACGATTTTTGCATGCATGATTGGCAAGGGGCTCTGCCTTCTTTTTACTCTATCGTCCATTGATGTCTGCTTTCAGTCTGAGTATGCTGTTCTCATGGTCACGGATCTCAGTGGATGCTCTTAGTGTGTCTTGCCATTGACCCAGAAGAATGGAAAACACAGACCTTTGCCTACCTTCCTTTCTCGTTCTGCCCCCCCCCTTGGCCTGCCTTGCTTGAAGATTTGGAATGCCATCAGAATGTTTGCAGAACTTCTCATTTGCAGGTGTAGTATTTGGACAATTGTTTGTGCTTGTGCATGTGTGCAGCAGCTCTCTCATGCTTTGACTTGATGCTTGATGTTGTGGGGCATATCTTCCCCTTTTCGCGGCAGGTTGTTTCATTGACAAAGAACGTCAGGGATCCCACTCCAATCAAGCTGCTTCCCTTTACACGGTTAAGAGTCTTGGAGGTATCTTTCCCTACTCTCATAGCTTCTTGCATCCATATCTCAGGACTCTTCCCATTCAGACTCGCTTTCTTCTTCAACTTGCATACATGCAAACAGATGGCAGACCATGCCGGCGCTGTGCGCCCACACGAAGCTCAGAGATATGGAGACCGACAACACAGTTGGATACAAACTCGCTTCAAAATGACTATGGCGCCTGAGCGCTTCCTCTTCCTCAACTCAGTGTTCACCCCAACTGTTCACATGTACTTCACACTGGATCTCCCTGGATATCCCACGCACACGCACACGCACACTCTGTATCAGAACACACACACACACACACACACACACACACACTAAACTCTGCCTCTAAACTACAGCGGCTATGGCCGCTCTACTACTATTGGCTATGGACAAACTATCTCCCTTCAGCCCACTTCAACCTCGGGCTTCTGCAGACCACCTCGCACAAGACGCCTGGGCAGTGCTTCCGCATGGCTCACACAAGAATGAATGAATGGCTGGACACTGCCTCTTGATTTATACTTCTGTAAGTCGTTGGTCTGCCCTTTTCCACCGGGCCCATGGTGCACACAGTCCCTCATGGTATTTGCTGACTGTACAAAGTGAGACTGGGACTGGGTACTGCTGACTAAGCGAAGTTGGACTCACCACTTGCCCACTTGCCTCTGGTCTGCTGTGTATAACGTGAGAAGAAACTTGAAAGGCCACTTCCGGACCTTCCGGAAGTTTGCGGACTTCGCCTTTCAGGACTGTAGCAGCTACGACCTTGACCTTTCAGGACTGTAGCAGCTACGACCTTAACCCTTCAGAACTACAACAACTATGACCCCTATGCAGGTATGACCCCTACTTCGACAGGTCTCAGGTTCAAGACCTGACAACTACTCAGACCTACGACAAACAACTTTCAACTACTAACACACAGGTCACGGGTTCAAGACACACATGGTCAACTTGATACTGTACACAGGGAAGGTAAGGTAAGGTAAGGTCTGCGGATCGAGCCCTGGGATCCGCATCTGTGACTGCAAAAGGTGAAAACCGTTTCACATAGTTTCTTGCATCCATATCTCAGGACTCTTCCCATGCTCCAACTCACCCTCTTCCTTTTGGCTTCCTTCGATTTCCCTCTTTATAATCTCCTCCATTGTCTATAAGCTTATTATCTTAACTTGTCCTTAGTGAAAGGATTCGCACAACTCAGAGCCCTGTCCCGTTGCTGAGTCCCAATTTCCCTTGTATCATAGCACCTGAAAGGTAGTCCTGCCTAGGTTCTGAGAGGTACTGCACAGGTAGGCTGTACGGAAATCGGTAGGTCAAGGCGGGTCAGGTCAGTCAAAGGAGCCTCGCACCTGTCTGTCCACTCCCATGGGGTGTCAAGGCGGGTCAGGTCAGTCAAAGGAGCCTCGCACCTGTCTGTCCACTCCCATGGGGTGTCAAGGCGGGTCAGGTCAGTCAAAGGAGCGGCAACTATGCTATAGTTCTTCACGAAATTGCGATAGTAGCCGGTCATCCCTAAGAAAGACCTCATCTCAGTCACAGACTGAGGACGCGGCCAGTCACGAATGCTGGCCACCTTCGCGTCATCGGGATTCAATCCCTTCGCGGAAATCTCATGACCCAAGTACAAGACACGGGTGCGGCCAAACTCGCACTTTTCACCGTTGATCTTGAACTTGTGCTGTCGCAGAAGGCTAAGGACTTTGTCCAAATGCGCAACGTGCTCCTCGACAGTCTTACTAAAAATAAGTATGTCATCGAGGTACAATGACAAACTTATCCAAGTAGTCATGGAATATCAGATTCATAGCGTGCTGAAAGGTGCCAGGAACATTGCAAAGGCCGGAAGGCATCACCACAAACTCGTACAGACCGTACCTGGTCTGAAATGCGGTTTTGTGTTGATCCTCGGGCCGGATTGCAATCTGATGGTACCCGGACTTCAGATCTATCTTACTGAAGTACCGACGCCCTTGCACTCTATCTAGCAAGTCATCGATGGGTAGGGGCTCTCGGTTCTTGACGGTGATGGCATTGAGGCCCCTATAGTCAATGCACATACTAAGTGTTCCTTTCCTTTTTCTTCGGTACAAATAAGACTGGTGAACCATAAGGAGAAACACTTGGCCGGATCCAACCCTTTTCTACGAGTTCCTTGAGTTGCCGGCGAAGCTCATCAAGCTCGCCTGGAGACATCAGATAGATCCTACCCTTCGGGATACTAGACCCTGGGATAATCTCTATCGTGTGGACAACCTCCCTCTCAACAACCCCTGTTGGCTCTTCAAATAGATCAGGGTATTTAGCAACTACTCCCTCTATCTCCGGCGGCATTTTCACCGGCTCGCCTGCAACAGAGACATAAACTAGATACATACCCTCCTCCTGATTTTGCTTATAGTAATTAAAGAATGCGGCCGCACACATGCATCCGTGGGACTCGATCAGACTACTAGCTTTAAACTTACGTAATCTGGCGGTCCCCCCACTTGGCAAAGTGTGTTTGACCACTTTTCGGTTCCAGTCAAACTGGGGCTGTGCCACAGAGAGGTAGTACATACCTAACAACATATCCATGGGGAGCTCATCGCTCACTAGGAACGAAACGCGATGTCTCAGTTCCCCTCCCGCGTACGGGAAACAACACTCAACATCTTGGAGGTAGTCGTTGACTACCATGCGCTGTTTGTTGGCATAGGTCGACTCAGGCGCTGCACTTGCCCTTGTAAGCGCAGCCTCTCAACGCACGCGCAACTAATGAAGTTCCGTGCCGAGCAAGTGTCATAATAGGCCTCGGCCTTGCGGCCGCCAATGATTACCTCGCTGACGAACATCTCACCCTTAGGAGCTTTGACTAGTGCCCTCCAAAAAGCTAGTGGGTCTGACCTARACCACTCCTCCTCTAGCTCCTCTAAGGATTCAAACACATTCATCGAGCGGAGGGTCGATGGGTTTGAATGTGTTTGTGGGACGACGGTGGAGTCAGTAGCTTGGGCCATCTCTCGAGATGGTGAGGGTGTGTGTGTCCACCACCTCGACCCTAGCAGGAACAGCTACTATTCCTACTGGCCCGACGTGTTTTCCGGAGCCGTGCCTGAAGTGTTGGCAACATTGCTACCAACGGAAGCGGAGGATCCTACCGCCTGCCCCATCGTAGGCGGGATCTTCTCGGTCACCTTCTTATTTCGGCACTTGAATTGGTTATGGCCATAGTGACCACAACGAATACAAACCTGCCGTGTGTACCTATCTCTCCATACGTCCTCTGTGAGACCCGCTTTCTCCCATGGAGGAGATTTGGGGTCAACTTGACTCCTAACCTCCACGGCGTCTACCGGTCGCCTTACCTTTTTGTGCTACGTCAGCGACTACTCCACCCCCTGAAGCTTCTACGCTGCCAGCCTTTGAACCTACTCCCTCCTGGAAGTTGTCGTCTAACTCGATGGTTGAACCATCGTTATCGACAAACATGATGCGACCCTTCGCTTTCCAGTTGGGAGGCAGTGTTTTCTTCCTACCATTTGTTGTGGGATTATGTCCATGCCCTATTTTTGCCTGAAGGTCTAGGGCTTTCTTGCTGAATGAAGGAAAGTTGTGCACATTAATGTTGGCCTCACCTGCCAACTGATTCCTGAGAGGCATAGGGAAGCACCTCAGGTAGGAGGTGAGTAAGACCTGGGGGTCATAGCGCACTCCAGGGACGCCATGAGCTTCGCCATCTCGCTGCAAAAAGAGGCGGGATGCAGCTCTATGGTAGAGTATTCACAACAGACCCGTATTGAGGATTTTCTTAAAGCGATAAGAGAGAGATTTGAGGACAAGAACCTGGCAAGGCGCACAAAAATGTTGATCCTCAGCCTCCCCGCTAGGAAATGGAAGAGTACGTCTGCATTAAAGGCAACTATGGATGAACTATTGCAATGCCCTGATCATGGATTAACGCCAGCCCAAATCTTAAACAGTTTTGCACGAGCACTCCCGGATCCTCTAAGAGCACAACTCTATCCCCGTACCAAGGAAGAGGGGATTACATATGAGAAGTTCGGCAAGATTGCCATAGATCATGCCGGCTTCCTCGCTGAAGCAAATTATTGCCATTACCGGAAGGATCTGCAAGCGGGTAAGAGATGGCAAAACCGCACTATCTCAGGGTCTATACCTGGGAAAGACAGTCTCCTTCTAACCTTTGAAGAAGGAGGCGCCGAGACCATCTCCTGGGATCAGGTAGACTATGGTCTCGATGAACCCAACAGACCGGTAGCTCAAGAGGGGAGTTACGCGGCTGTTGCAGCCCGCGGGGGAGGGCGTCAAGGAAGAGGACGTGGCCGAGGAAGAGGT